GTTGTGAGAGGGGTAAAATGGTCTTTTACCCTTCTGAGAGTGTCATAAGAGGACATAGTCTAGCCTTTGAGAGTTATAATAATTAGGGTACTTATTTTTATATGATTAGGTGGAGGTTAGACCAGTGTTACTGAGTCAGAGATTACCGAGATACCCGAGGTGAGTCTTCTTACTATACTTTACCTAGTGTGGTAATAGAGTTATGTGATAGAGTATTTTAGAGTTATATGACAGTGTAATTTCATGTTATTTATGTGCTATGATTTATTGTGATGTGTGCTAGGCATGATTCAGAGTTACATAGTTAGGACCTTCGGGTCCACAGAGTTAGGCCAGAGGGCCCATAAAGAGTTGGGACTGGAGGGCCCCACTGAGACACATAAACCTGAGGGTCAACAGAGTTACAGCCTCGAGTGGCTATTATGTTTTAGAGTGGTATTTTGGGGAACTCACTAAGCATTTATGCTTACAGTTACATGTGTTATGTGTTTCAGGTACCAGTGATGATCGTGGGAAGGCGCCGACATGATTCGTACACATGCACACCGGATTTTATGTATTTTGATCTTGGGTTTTGTACTGATACAATGTTGACACAATGTTTTTATTTATGATTACAAATGATAATTTATGGTTTTCAAAAGTGAAAAAAAATTGTTCAAAATTTTACGGTGTTACAATATCACTAAGACCAGATAATTCTGCGAATGAGAGGTCCTACCCTACACTGGTTGGACACAAACAAGAGCTATGAAATAGAGCTAGACTTAACCTTATGAAATTATTTAGTCCTCGCAATATGTAACTTAACGTATTCGTTACTAATTAGTTAAAGATAACTAGAACTCCTAAAAGCCCAAAGCAATCAATATTCGGGCATTGAGTAACCCAAACCAATCATATCCTATCCAGGCCATCATATCACTAACTAATCAGTTCTAGCATGTTATTCAATAAACACATATAGCAGGCATATAAGGCATCTTCCTAGATCCTTAGCCCTAATCTAGCATTCAGTTCTCATACACATACAATAGGAATATCAAGCATCCTTCCTAGATCCTTAACCCTAATCTAGCATGCAGTTCTCATAATCATGACATAATCATGGCTATCTTGGGGAAAACTTACTTGAGCTTGGCCGATTGCACGCATCACACACCTTGTTCTTTTTCAAAACTCTTTATTTTAAATTTTAGAAAAACTATTTTCTTATAAAAATCTTTCAAACCTCGATTTGAGTCCAGACACCTCCGAAGGTGTATCCGAATCCCTCAATCCAAGGCTCTGATACCAACCTGTAACATCCCAAAATTGTAGACCAAAAATTTCATTTTTGATATAACGATTCATAAAAAAATTTAAAGAAAACATCATCAAGTTATTTCATTTCATAAAAACCATACATCATATGTTTCAAAAGCATGTCATAAAATAGTAACAATGTCAGAGTACAAATCCTAAGAATCTCAAATGCAGATAATCATGTGTGCGATGCGCTGCTACCGTGCCGTCTCCTTTCCCTTTGCAGAAGAAGTACCTGAAATCAAAACTGAAAACCATAAGCACAAAGCTTAGTGAGTTCCCCCATCATTCCACATACCATACATAGCACATACTGTCTAACATTTCCGAGTACTAGCTACCCCTTCAGTCTCTTTCTACCGGTAACTTGTCTAGCATATTAGGTTGCTGGCCTACCCCTTCAGTTCTTTCGACGGGTAACTTGCCTAGCATACCAGGGTGCTGGCCTACCCCTTCGGTCCTGTCGACTGGTATCTCGCCTAACATATCAGGGTGCTGGCCTACCCCTTTGGTACTTTCGACTGGTATCGGGGGACTATTACACCCCCTACTTCTTTCACATAGCATCCTAGTGTATAAACATATAATTCATATACTGCCTAACGCTGGGTGCTGGCATACCCCTTCGGCCCTATCGACTGGTACTAGGGTCTATCCTACCCCTCATACCATTATCGCATAACATCATAGCATATTAGCACATAAGCATAACAGATAGTGACATACCAAATAATTATCACTAAGAAAATCATCTATATTATAGCTCTACTATTGGGCCGACATTGGTGCTTTCGACCCACTTCTACTGGAAGGTAACTCACCTTAATGTCGTGAAGTAACTGAACTGTCCTTGGTGCTGGGATTAACTCATCTCAAACTCCTACACATAACAATCTCATTTAATTACTCTTTCATACTCATAACCCCTTTAAGGGTCAACTCTGGCCAATGGTTAAAGTCAAAGTTAACATCATGGTCAAAGTTAACATCCTGCTTGACTCAACTCGCCGACTTGGTCCATCAACTCGTCGAGTCCCATAATACATAAAACCCTGAAATCTCGATCCTACTCGTCGAGTCCTTTCATGAACTTGTCGAGTTCCATAACTCATAAAACTCTGGAACCTCGATCCTATTCTTCGAGTTCTTCGTTATAACATAGTTGGGACCTGTTACTCACAACTCGCTGAGTTCCTCCTTGAACTTGTTGAGTTCTCATTCATACAGAGTCGGTACATTTTGCCCATAACATGCTGAGTTCCTCCTTGAACTCGTTGAGTTCTTCAATCTTCAAGCCCAAAACATGTCCAACTTGCTGAGTCATCTCCTAGACTCAACGAGTTTACTCAGTAACAGAAAAGGTTGGGGGACCATGACCCAACTCGCCGAGTTGTATGAACAACTCGTCGAATCCCCCATAGTCTAAATCCATACAGTTATTTAAGTTGAGCTTAATGCATCCAAAACATAGATCTAGTTCCCTAGGGTCGATATATCATGTAAAGTTTCTAACTTTACGTGCATGCATGGGTTATTTAGCTCAAAATCCCTAAAAAGTGGTTCACAAGTTGCATGGGACTCCCATGGCCATAAAGTTGGCACCTTTATGCCATGGAGTCCCTCAAAGGCTCTGGATCTAAAGTCATGACTCCAAAACATGATTGCATCCATGAATGGTTCCAAAAATGGTAAAATACAACCCTAAATGAAGATCTAAGCAATAGAAAGCCAAGGTACCAACTTTATACCTCAAATGAGCCGAAAATGAAGTTCTACTTCTAGATCCAAAGTTTCTTCCTTCAACCAAGCACTTGTAGCTTCCACTCCTTCAAGGTAATACCAAGAATCACTCATTTTTCACCCACACACACTCATAAGGCTCAAGATCACGAATTAGGGTTTTGCTGGACTGAGGGAGGCTATAATGAAGTGTTAAGTTTCTTAAATAGGGTGTAAACCCTGAAAATTAGGGTTTCCTTCTGGTAGTCCTAAAGTCCCAATCCTACTCGACGAGTTTGGATCCTCCAACTCGTCGACTCTTTGCAAAAATGAATAATTCTTTATTGAAATACATACTAGGAACTAGGTGTTACACATTGTTACACATTGGTGGGAGTCCACATCTTCATCTCTTGATCTCATTCCCGTATGCGAACTCCAACCTGTCCAATAAACACAAAAAAGGAAAACACGAGGAATCCATTAAAAGGGTTTAATTTGGGTTTTCTAAAACTTTAGTAAAAGTTACATAGAAAAAGCTACATCCCACAGGTTCACAAAACCATAAATTCAACATTTCTTTGCAGAAAGGGCAATGAGGTTTTACCAATTGACAGAATATTACTACTTCTAAACATAATTCCTATATATAAACCCAAACTTTTTAAGAAACACAATCAAATTAACATCTATTTTGTTCAAAATTAGAATCCTCTTTCTATATATGAAATTCGCATGTTTTATTAACCATAATTCTTTCCCAAATGACATTTTATTGGTAATTCCATCAAATGATCAGACATATGAACTAAAAAATGAAACCCAAATCAAACAGAAACATGAAATCATTGAAACAAACCTTGTTTTCAAACGGGATATGAACCCTAATTTGTTGTTGTCGTAAAGTAGGATTATTGTAACAGATATCTTTCTGAGGGAAACAATGTCTTTTTGAGGGAAAAAACACCAAAACTGAAAAGAAATGTAAGCTCCATGATGTGTATCGGATATCCTCAAGAATAAAACCAAGCCGACAACGCTTTTAGAGCCACCATTGTTCACAAAAATCGCAAAAACTTAAAATACTTCAAAGAAATACACTTCCAATTTAAAATAAAAACAAAGAAAGAGATTGGAGCAGGGGTTGGATTATGATAGTTATTACCCAGTGGTGGTTGACGGTTGGAATGTAGAAGCCAACAACCTAAAGCCAAATATTCTTCTAAAAAAATAAAGCATGGTACCTGAGAATAATAGGAGGAAGGCAGAGGATAGAAAAAAGAGAACAAACAGAATATTGATGATAAGTAAATTGTTCTAATCTTGGCTCCTAGATTTGGAACAACATTGTTTCCTAAACCTACTTATAACGTCCCAAAAATTAAGACTAAAATTTTCGATTTTTAAATTACACTACTAGAAAAACAGCCTTTTACGACGCTCATTGCGCGTCGTAAAAGGCTCAGACGACGCTCAAATGCGCATCAAGGAAGGCCCTGTCATAAAGAGAGACGACGCGCATTTACGACGCTCATTTACGACGCGCAATTACGACGCGCGTTTACGACACACAATGCGTATCAAGGAAGGCCCTGTCATAAAGGAAGACGAAACGCATTCGCGTGTCGTAATCTTACGACGCGCGTGTTAATAACACGCAATGCGTATCAAGAAAGCCCCTGTCAAGAAAGACCATGTCATAAATGAAGATGACACATATTTTTGCGTATCGTAATTTTAAATGTTTAAAAAAAAATACTATTTATAGATTTACTTATTTTAAAATTAAATTTATATTTAATGTTTCATAATAGATAATAAAATATCATATACAAAAAATAGAATCCATTGCATAAATTTAATGTCATACAATTCTATTTCTTACAATATATAAATTTGCATCTAATCTACTATGTACATCAAATTCCAACTAAGTAAAGTTGCATCTTGCCTTTCATAATTCTTTAAGACTAATGCTCCAAACAGCTGATTATATGGATAAGCAGTTGTACATTGGCCTATCTCACTCAATAATGACTTAGCCAAATTCAACTCACTTTCCAAGAGCTTTCTCATGTACAACAAGGCTAGTTCCAGTTCCTTCCAACCCTACACAAAGTATCACATCCAACTAGGAAGTAAATATAAGCATATTTTGCAGGGGTAAAATGGTAATTTGTGTAATTTTATAACCAAACACAAATTACCAGGCAAATACATAAGAATAGGAGAATATTTTAGAGGCCTGTTATAGGCAACAGGGCAAAACCATGTTGAGATCAAGTTTGGAGATGATATCATCAAATGAAGGCCTATTGTGAATGTCAGCATCCTAACATCTTTGTACCAGAGATAGTAATCTTGGTGGTGCACCTGATTCAGTCCCTGCAAGACCAGGTCTTAACCCTTTAGACACAACAGCTGCTGTCAGTTGCTTGTCAGTGTAGTTCATTGCATCAGACAGATTTGTGGATTGAAAAACTAAAAAGTCTCATTTCAGCCAACTACATAAAAGCACTCAGACATTATACACATAGACACACAGATCCCAAACATGAACAAAGTTGACTAATTGCATCATACCCAAAAGATTGATAGCCTGAGATTGATTGATAGAACAAATAGACAAGATCAAGAGAGGCACCTGATCATGAAGCAGGTAATATCGACTGAGTCATTCTGATTAATTAATTTCTGAGAATAAAAAATTCCATGTACCCAGAAGCTGGGACAAAAAAAACTCACCAAAGCTAGGACATTTTCCTACTAAGTGGGTTTGTTTTTACTGAGTGGGCCATCTTTAGGATCCATGACTTCCTCTTTTCTTAATCTTTTTTAAACCTAGAAAACTTATGAAAATGGAAGTTAGGGGACAACTTAAGGTGCACCATGTGGAAATTACACAAAGCATTCAATCTAAAAAGAAATATAAAAGAAGCACCTGAATAAAGGTTGCTGGACCACCACATATATCAAAGTACTTCTTTAGGCGCTCAATGTTCTGAAAGAAAATCATGGGAAATTGCTAACCGAAGAAAGTGCCTTTTAAAAGTGCTTCTGTTTAAAAGAGAATGAGACCCTGGCCTTTCCTTAATTGCAGCAAGTTGTGACTATATAGTTTGATAAAAATGTAATTAGTAAAAAAATAGTATGACTATGAATAGATTATAATTTATAAGTTATAAACTCACTGTGAATAATTTAACTCTACTTGTAAATGGCACCAAGAAAGGAGCTTGTTTCAGTATGTCATATGCCCTTGTGTTTTCAATCAACGCCTGTGAATTAAGTAAATAGATGGATTCTTTTTAATCATCACAAAATCAAAATTATAAAAAAAATATGTGAATTAAGTAAATAATTATTACCTGAGAAATGAAGTGAACATTGACACCATCAGCATGGAAGTAACTAGGGTGTGCAAACTGCCTTCTATTATTCTAATCTTGCAGCTGTAATTGTAGATTTATAGTTACACAAATTATTGTCTTTCAATATTGTCAATGAAAGTCAAACTACAATAAGCATACCTGAGAAAGAAGTTCAGAAGCCACAACACTAACCCTATATTGAACAAATTCTACATGGTGTTTCTTTAAGGAAAGATTGTTTTTAGTAAACTCCATTGGTGCCATAGGGTTTAACCAAAGAATCTGCCACAAAGACTAGAGAAAGAAAAAACAAAACCACGAATACAATTTATAGAATAGGAGCTAAAATGTAGAAAAAATGTCCAAATTTGGAAGAAAATAAGCTTGACGTTTGCTATCATCAACATTACAAGTTGTGGTAATAAAATAATTTTCTAAAATCAGCTCAATTTTTATTTGGAAGAGTGACCAAAAACGTTATAAGAACCTCAAATCATGACCAATATCGGAAGAAAATAAACTTTTGGAGACCAATCAAGAAAAAAAACTAACATTCGGATAACATGAAGGGTAAGATGTTAATTTCACATTCCCATACAGTATACTAACATGATAGAATCGGGGTGAAGTGTTGAGTTCTACTCCTTTAGAAAAGCAACAACAGCAGCCTCCCATTTTTTGTTTTACTCAGTTATGGATTTTATCGAACCGAATATATTGATAATGGTGTCATTGTGGTTTTGTTCTCTATTAAAGGAGAAGACACCTCTTAGCTGTAAGTTAACATCAACACACTTATATATTATTTTTTTTTTAAAAAAAAACTAAATTGAAAAAATAACAAAAGACTAACTCCTGTAGTTTGCTGGAATGGGAAAGTTTCTGTAATCTATGCATGCCACTATAACATATGAACCTGATTAAGGATTTATATGTCATTTAGTGATCTAGCTATTTAGGAAGTATAGTGACATTGAGAATTTTAAGTTAAAGGGTATAAAGGGAATCTCACAAGAAGTCGATTTGATCACAAGAGGGGTCTCTTGAATTTATTCAACTGCAGCTACTTTACTCCCAACTTCTGCAATCACCACTAGAATTTATTAATTATTACTTGTTAAATTAACACAAAAAAGTCTCATTTTGTTCATAAAGATTAGTGAAATCACTCACATGAATCAACTGTTTGCTTAGTAAAAGTTTCCAGTAGCTCTTCTGTGTTCAGGGGTGTCAACAGTGACATCCTTCGAGCTCTGAATGCTTTCATCTCCAAGAAATAATCTCAGCTCTACCTCTTGTGAGTCATATGAAAACTGTCAAATGTATTAGAAAGTGACCATTGAAGAAGCAGATATGGTTTCATACTTGTGGAATCTAAGTTTTTTCCTCCAAATTTTGGTGCGTAAACTTTTATTTTAGAAAATTTTAACAGCCATTGAAGAAGCAGACATGGTTTCAGATTACTGGGAAAGGAAAATCAGCATAAAACTAAACCCTAATAACCGTGAAAACCATGCTTACCCAAATGGGGATTTACAAAAATGAATATGAACACTTCAAATTCGTATATTGTTGGTAGTTACCTCGTAATTGGTAGTGCTTGTCGACACAATGAATGAACTACTGCAGATGAAGCTGATGGGTTTTCTTGATGAGGCGAGATTGATTGGATTTGAACAATGAATTGAAAAGGGGGTAAAATTGGATTTTGAAAGTGAAATTGTGGTTTTAGGGCAAGTAAGATGAATGGGTTGAAGTGATTTTGAAGAGAGACATGAAGAAGGAGAAGGTAGTATCGATAGTGTGGTGGGAATTGCCATGATCGTTAATGCCATTGAAAGATAAGGAGGGAAGATATAAAGCTCACAGGTACCTGTGAGCTCAGATTAGCTTAATCGATTGTAGATGGCCTTGTGCTTCCAGATAAAGAACCGTATACATAAAAATTCGACTTATTTGGGGTTTTTAAATTGAAGTAGAAAAGAACGGGTCCCATTCCAATTTCAAAAGTGAACAAAACCGGAAAAGGAATCTGAAAATATACCCGATGATCTAGAGTTGAAAGAAGTTGAAATGGAAAATTGATTGTTTGAATTCGCTCAGTTATTCGAACCCTCGCACGTACTAGGTTTAGAGAAAACGAGAGAAGTGGAAGCTTGAAAGAAAATAAAACCCTAGCACGTGCTAGAGAGAAGGGAGGTGGCGATGGCTTAGGGTTTACAGAGAGACTGGAGGTAGAGAATGAAGGGAGATCTAGAGGAGAGATTATCAGAGAGGGGAGAGTGGATTGCAAGGATGAAAGATAGATAGAAGATAGAAAAAACGAGGCGGGTTTTCAAAATTTTGGGGATTTTGTTTCCCCCCTTGTCTACTAAAAGCGCGTTTCATTAAAATATAAAGCGACCGGTACAGACGACGCGCGTTTAAGATAAAGTGCCCTCCGTGTTTCTAATTTTTTTTCTTGAGACACTAAATTAAGGGCACGTAATAATGCGTGACGTAAATCCTTAAATTTTTTGGAGAGATAACACTATTTTAAGGGCACGTCTTATTGCGTATCGTTAATCAGCGCGTGTCGTAAAAAGCGCATCATTAAAAGTCTATTTTCTAGTAGTGTTAATAAAACAATTATCCAAAACAACACTGAAGTGCATCAGAGTAATATAAAATGCGGAAAGATGTGGTGTGTGCACTGCAATCATCCCGGGATCTTCCCTTTCGAACCAGAAGTACCTGGAACATAAACTGAAAACCATAAGCAGAAATCTTAGTGAGTTCCCCAAAATACCACATACCATGCATATCAAACATATAATGGGCCTTGCTCGACATTGGGCCTCGCCCGACATCGAGCCCCTCTCGGAACATATCTGTTAGTCATCAGGCCCCGCCTAGCATCGGGCCCCACCTGGTATACTTACAAACATATAAACACATCCATAAAAATCACAAAGATAAATAACATACAATATAATCATTAGGCCCCATCCGACATCGGCCCCGCCAAGTAAACATATAAACACATAACACATGGGTCAGCATTGGTGCCTTTGATCCGCTAAAAATAGTGAGGAACCTTACCTCAAGATGTAGAATCGCTCAGATAAAATTGTTGGATTAGGTGTCTAAGCCCATAACTTTTTTGGTATGTACTTGACCCGATTATGAGCATGGTTCTTTTAGGTTGCCTTCACCATAGCAACTGATAGGATTAATTATGGAGAAAGAGGATTAATTATGATTTATTAATATATTATGTGAATAATATATTAAAAGAGAAATCATATTGTTTAATTAATATTGATCAAGAATTAATTTAGAATTAATTTTGTGGTCAAAAGAGATTAATTAAATAAAGGGGACCGATACTTTAATTATAAGATAGTTACAAAGTTGGGCTTAGGATCTATAAGGAAGAAATGAAAGAATTCTATATGAGAGTCCATATAGAAATCGTCCAAGGGGCCTTCTGGAAGGATCTTTGGGCTACTTAAGAACTAAGAAACTAGATTAGGGTTTCGAAGTTGATAACCCTAGAAGCCTAACTATAAAAGGAACCCTTTATGCCACTAAAATCATCCCTAACCTTTTGAGAGAACCATAGGATGACTTTTGTGCCTTCTCCTCTGTCTCTTGTTCATCCTTATTGCTAGTGGTGTTTATGACTCCATTAGAGGTGCCATACTTGGGGCACTAGGCTTTCATAAGTCAAGATCAAGAAGGATTGTGATTGTTAATGCTACATAACAATCAAGGTAATGTGTCTAACCCTAATATTATGTCAATTTCGATAATAGTATATTAGATTTAGGGTTTATGAGCTTTGGATGATTATTTCATGTACAATTAGACAAACTAGATCCAAAGCTTTAAGGTTTGAATGTGCACCATAGGATTGATGTAATGCATAAAACCCATAAAAAAATCACAGTCTGTTGGTCCGAAAAATCCCCGCGCTAGCATCATTAAATAAATATCCAATTAATAATTTGATCTCGACCCATAATTAAGAATCTAAGTTACTTGTCCAATATCCACGGTAAAAGACCATTTACCCTTTTTCCTACTTGGCTCATAACCAAGGCCCAACCCGTTTGCTCAAAAGGCCTAAATTCCTAAATGGCATCCTAAGGCCCAACTTCCTAATTGAGCCCAAAAATCACCATGGACCTAATCCCAGGAAAGTTCATAGTCTACCCATGGCCCAAAGTTAAAAGCCCAATATCCCAACAAGGCCCAAAACCTGGAAACTCAAAACATGGTGCAAACCCAGGGAAGTCAATCCAAAAGTCAAACAGCTGAGTACGCTAGGCGTACTCAAACTTACACTTGATGTACTCCATCCGGGGCCAGTATGCTCGGCATATACAAACTAGGTATGCCCCACGTACTCCGCATACAACCAACCCAACTCATTAAGCACTTACTCAATTAAACCAACATGCCAAACTCTCAGATCTGATTCTAGAAGGTGACTTAACACGTAAAGTGGTCAACTTTACACCCATGCATGACTTAATGAGACCCAACACTAAAAAAGAAGCTCAATAAGAATCTTAACACTTTCATGGACCCATACCTCTTATAAAGATTACATTTTTATGGACAAGGGACCTCAATGGAGCTAGGATCTAACATTCATGCCTTCTGGAGTAGATCATAAACTCAACTTTAGCTTAAAAGACCCAAAAATGCACAAATAACACCCTAAGTTGGATCTAGCACATAAAATCATCAAGATGGGAACTTTTTACCTCAAATGACGTGCTAAGATGAAGATGACTCTTGATATACAAGCTCAAGCTACTCCCAAGCAACCTCCAAGTGTTCATCTTCTTCTTTTTTTCACAAAAACACTAGAAAATCCCACAATCAAGATCAAACCTCACAAAAAGGCACTTAGGGTTTCGTTCTTAGGGTATAGGGTGATGGAGGCTAATCAATAAAATGTCCAAAGGTGATATAAATTGTTTAAATAGGGTGAAAAGCCTAAAAATTAGGGTGTACCCCTACCTTGCGTACGTAGTGAGTACTCCCACGCGCCAAACATACATGGGTACATCCACGATCTAGAAGCGTGCTAGTACGCTAAGCATACTCATAGAGTATGCCCCGCGTACTAGCTAGGGACTATAACGAGATAATTTTTGTATTAAGGGGGCTAAAAGAAACATACCGAATTCTCGAGTGTTACAATTCTCCCCCACTTGAATCAGACTTTGTCCTCGAAGTCCACTACCGCAAACAACTTTGGGTACTGCTCCCTCATCTTGTCCTCCGGCTCCCACATCTATTTTGAACCCTTGCGATGCTGCCAACAAACTTTTGTTGGATATAGTGTCTAAGTCCATAACTATATTTGGTATGTACTTGACCCGACCCGGCATGGTCCATTTGGGTTGCACTTCACCAGAACAATTTATGGATAATATTTGAGAATAGTACAAGTTATGATTTATTAATATATTATAAGTTCTAATATATTAATATGAGATCATATTATTTAATTAGTATTGATCTATAATTAATCTAGGATTAATTTAGAGATCAAAGATATTACTAATTAAATATAGGCTTCTATATTTATATAGTGTGGGCTAATGCTTATTTAGAATGGGCTAGGCTTGCATGGAAAAGTCTATGGATACTCCATGGAACTTTAACCCATGGATCTCATGGAAATGAAGTGACATGGGTATTAGGGTTTACATGGATGTAACCCTAATCCACCAAAGGAGGCTTTGGTTCTTGAAATCACACTAGTTGACACTTGTTGAGGTGAGGGGCGATTTCAAGATAGTAGTGACTATTCTCTCAAAGTTCCAAGTTTGTGGTGATTTGTGGTTTCCATTTGAGGCATTCACACTATTGGTGCTAGGCTCTAAAACTCCAAGCAATCAACTACTACTACAAGGTAAGTATTTCTACTAGCTTTATTTGATTCATGTTCCCCATGCCATTCTAGTTAGGATATGAACCTTGGAAAAATAATTATTTGCATGTATCTTAGACAAACATAGATCCAAGGTTTATTAGGGTTGCATGTACACTTAGGAAGTGTTAGAATGCTCAAAACCCATCAGTGGTATCAGAGCCTAGGCTTGTTTGTTTGATACTTGATGCAATATAGTTGAAAAATTCGAAAAACTTGTTGTCTGCCAGTTGAACTCGCCGAGTCCATGGGGGGGCTTGCGGAGTTCATGTGTATCTTCAACCTATTTGGCGAGTAAGTTTATGCACTCGACGAGTAGAAGCGACAGAGTGCAGATTTTCGATTTTAGTTGCTGGAAATGGACTAGAAACATTACCCTAAACTGTTTTGGTACTTGAAAACTCATTTTAGATGGTGTAATGTCTTTGCTAATCCATTTACAACAACTTGTTATCAAAATTACAAAGTTTTATGTGTAATTTTTAATTCATGAAAGTGTTCATATTCATGTTCTTGATCTTATGATGTTTAGATGATCATAGGTATTATTTGTAGCCTATGTGGTAGTTTAATTCTTGATCATAATGTGTTTTAATGGAGTCCATAACTTGTCCTCAAGTTATGGAAAACCAAGAGTCACACTTGAATTAAAACCATTAAAAGAACACAATAGTTAGAAAAATGAAGAGTCTTCATTTTTATTACTCTATTTAACTCATAAGTTACAAGAAATGAAAAGTTTTGAAAGTTTACAAAACTTGCCCTCAAGTTTTGGAACAAGTAAAGTCATATTAAACTTTAGTTCCAACCCTTAGAGTTTTAAAAGTTAAAATTCAACCCTTATACTTATAATATTATTAGTTAATAATATATATGTATAGATATATA